CCAACCTGCTTGTATACATACATAAATATCTTTCCCTCATTCACTCTGCTGTTCTTCTCCTCAACTAAGTAGCTCTTTCTTTTTGAATAAGTTCATTCCTTTTACCAATATGGGAATCTGAAAGAGAAAAATGAAATCTGAAGGATACACTAGACACTGGTGTATTTATATTATCAGATAACTAAATCAAGCAAATTGATGTATCCATTATCACCTCCACATGGATAAATATGGATACAAATATGTTACAGTGTCTTTATTTATTCAGTGCAACATCTGGCTATGTAGCTCATACTTGTAGAGATCCTCCTGTCTCAGCTTTCCCAGTCTGGGACTACAAGCATGCACCATGAAACTTGGACTCAGTGGCAATTATGGCAAACCCGGGGTTTGGGGCTAGCACAGCATTCTGTACTGCGGATGTTACCCTGGGCCTTGTACTTCCGAGACAGGTACTTAGAATGCTGAGCTATCTTCCCAGCCCTATTTTTAGAATTTTAAAAATTATATTCTAGTGATAATATTACATATTTAATGTTATTATTATTTAATTTTTTTCAAATCAAATTAGTAAGAGAGTTTCAATAATTAACACGTTGCATACATTCTTCCTAGTGCATAATTGGTGTACAAGATTTGGACATGATATCCTATTTACAAACACCATTAGAACAAATTTCTCTATTCATTAAGAGAATGTAACTATATATCTGTCCTAAACACTTTGCTGACACAGATATGAAAAGGACATTCATCGGCATACCCTTTTTTTAAGTTCCGTTAGTTGAATATTATAGGTGTGTTAACTCAATAAAATATTCTCAAAGAGTCCAGTAGCCCATAATAGTATTGGGTCTTCTACTTGATAGGCAATGTCAGAAATTGTTGACCTGTGTCCCCTACAGCTCAACATAACAGCATGGCTTTACTTCTTATATTTTGTTTTTATACTTTTCCCCTGGATAGTTAAGACCAAGGTAAAGCAGGACCTACTCAATGAGAGTTGTAGCTTTTGGGTCTGATAAGGTCAGTGAAATCCCCTCAGGATTTATCGTGAGATCCTATACCTCAGATTGTTCATCAGTGTTAGCCATGTGGATGAGTCACGGCCATTCCTTGGCAATGTGCTTTCTGTTAAAGCCTGAGAGAATGATTTCTCTCCATGTGACTCTCCTTAGGCACACACCTGATCGTCAATCACTTTCCTCTTCTGCCCCATAATCTCCTTGATCAGAAAATTTGGGACACTGCCGAATTACATGACATTACAATACAAGTTCTCATATGTCCTGAGCCTTAATTGACCTTAGAAGGTTAAGGGCCAAAATGTTGGCTTTCCTTTCAGCCCTCGTTTTGTCTAATTTTGCTCTGCAATCTTAGGTTGTTAACCATCCAGAAGACAAGCTTATTGCTATTACCATACAAATTAGGCTGTTAAGCTTAACATCACTATCTGTCTGCATATCAAACATCTTAAGCATAATATGGAACAGGTATTTTTTATCAAGTATGGATATGTTGTACTTTAAGTCCTTACAGAATATGATAAAAAACATTTAAAAATTAGAATATATTTTAAAAATAGGCATAAAGAATTATATACTTCTTATGTTTACACATAAGTCCAAAAATCTCACCATACACAACCTTCAAGCAGGACAGTCCCATAATATTCCTTTTCCTATCTCTTGCCTTCGTTCACCACCCCCTTCTTTTTGAACAATCATCTACCCGAGAGACAGCATAGCAGCAACTGGTATGTCATGACTAACAGCTCGTATTCAGAAGAGCAGAAGTAGAGGCACTCCAAGCATGAAACTACTATTACAGATTCCCATCTTAAGTGCAGTTGCTTAGTTCACAGGTATAAGTATGTATAGCTAGTCAGGGTGAGAGTATTTCCAATTAACTGCTAGAATAAAAAATCTTCTGGAGATTCTCAGGATCATTGCCTTGCCCATCTTCTACAAATAACTGTATGGCTTAACATTGTCATGTTTCCTAGCTCTTCTCCTTTCCCTCTTTTGATTAGCTAGCCCTTGAAATCTTGCTTTCCTTTTAGTTGTGTTATACATTTCTATTTGTATTTCTTCTTTTGAGTTCTTATACTAGGGAAACTATATGATATTTACACATGTGTGTCTGGTTTATTTCACTTATAAGTATGTGTTCAAGTGCCATCCACTTCAATATACAGGCTTCGAATTTGTCATTCTTTATAGCTGAGTAATACTCCGTTGTGTAAAATTACCACATCTTTTTCAACCATTTCTCAGGTGATGGGCATCTTGGTTGTTTCCAAGATTTGACTATCACAAATTGTGCTTCTATAAACACAGGCACACATATATCCCTATGATATGATGTTTTCATATCATCTGGGAAAATTCCTAGTAGAAGAATAGCTGGTTTAAATAGGATTTCCAGTCCAACTTTTCGGAGGAGTCTCCATACAGATTTCCATAATGGTTGCTCCAGTCTACATTCCTACCAGCAGTTGAGATCCATTTGTTTTTTGACATCACTATCACCTTAGAATATTGTATAGTTTAATGTCTAGTGTCATCCATCTCATCGTGCTCTAGGCTTTTACTAGGTGAAATGGGGACCTCTGGTTACATTTTGTGTCTGTATCTTGTCCTTTTGCCTTTTTCTTTCTAATATTTTTGATTTGTATATCAATATTTGCCCATTTTCTCACAACATGAGTATTTATTGCTAGTGTTGATATTTCCCTAGAGAATTAATGTTCTTTGAGGAAGGTCTGTACATGTAGGTAGTTCCTTATAGCTATCACAAGACCTTGTCATTTAAATTTGCAAAGAATACAAAGTTACTATCTGACTTTCAGCCCACATTGATATAACCCACAAAACTGTCCCTCAAATTCAATGGCAAGAGAAGATTCTTACGTGACAAAGAACAACTGAAGAAATTCATGACCAACAAAGCAACTCAAAAAGAGTAGTGAAAGATATTTGTGAAAGAAACAGAAAGAGCCACCACTTCAAGAACAATGAGAGAAAGGCACCACCAAACAGAGAAAGTGATTAAAAAGTGGAGATGCAGAACCTGTAGCAGGAAAATAACAAAATAAACATAAGCCAATATATATCACTTATATCCATCAATGTAAATGGACTTAATTAACCAACCAAAGGAAACAGACTGGTAGAGTGGGTTAAGAAACAAAATCCAACAATATTCTGTATACAAGAAACACATTTAACTCAAAAGGAAATTCATAGATTGCCAGTAAAAGTTAGGGAAATAAACACTCCATGTGAAAGGAACCCAGAAAAAATCATGGGCAACTATTCTGCTTGCTGGTAAAATTAGCTTTAAACCAAGAATGATTGAAAGAGATAAAGAAGGTCACTACATACTTCTGAGGGGAAACTGTAAGAGGAAGAGATAAAAATCATATAT